GGGTTCAAAGGAACCCCAACGCCTGGGTTCCAAGGAACCCAGGAACCCATGACCCCAATGGAAAGACAATGGGAAGGAGAAAGGGAAAAAAAGAAAAAGAAAAGAGTTTTTTAAGTTTTTTTTTTTGTCATATTAATATTTTTTACCATATTATAATTTTTTTCCATATCACTATTGTTTGCCATGGTGTCTTCCACGTATTTTGACATGTCATAGTGTTACCGTGAATTAATATGACACGTCATGCGATATTTAACGGAGGGACCAAGTCGGGGTTAAAATGGTAAACAGTAGGGACCAAGTCAGGAATTTTTTAAGTTAAGGGACTCAATCAGGAGTCCATACAATAGTTGAGGGACCAAAAAGGGGGTTTAACCAAAGCAAAATGCTGCAACTTGATATTAAAAAATTGATTCTCAACACGAACTGTGCATCTACACAAAATACTTTCTCTTCATCAATTATATGCGCCACCAACATATCTTTCTTTCTTTGCACTACAGAGGCTTCCAACGCCAACCATTTCATTTTTTCAAGTTATGGATCCGCAATGGGCTGACCTTCTCCTGAGTCCCATCATCAATACCACAATTTCCAAGCTGATTTCCACTGCTGCTGAGCAAATCAGCCTTGCTGTTGGCTGGAAGAAGGAGCTTGCATCGCTTAAAGACAAGTTGATCCTGGTCCAGGCTGTGCTAAAAGATGCTGAAGAGAAGCAGGTCAGCGACCCTGCTGTGAAGCTCTGGCTTGAGAGGCTCAGGGATGTGGTTTATGAGGCCGATGATGTGCTGGACGAGGTTGCTTACGAAAGTGTGAAGTGCAAGGTGGAGACTAAAAACCAGAAGATGAAATGGGTGTGTAATTTCTTTACCTCCTCCAATCCCTTGCTGTTTCATAGAAAGATTTCTGAAAAGATAAAGAATATTATTGCATCGGTGGATGTTATTAACAATGAGGCCAGAGGGTTTGGACTCCAAATTAGACTTGCTACTGCTTGCAGGGTGGTTTCTGAACAAGGAAGAAACCCACAAACTCATTCCACCATTGGTGATTTATCAGAGGTTGTGGGGAGAGAGGATGATGTCTCCAAAATAGTGCACCTGTTAACTGACTTATCTGATGTATCACGGCTTTGTGTCTTGTCAATAGTGGGTATGCCGGGTCTTGGCAAAACCACTTTGGCACAAGCTGTGCGCAATGATGAGCAAATCAAAAACTATTTTGGTAAAATAATGTGGGTTTGTGTGTCGGATGATTTTGATGTAAAGAGGATTTTAACAGAAATGCTGGAGTCTCTTACTGGGAATTCTTGTGCAGTAAAAAATAAAGATACTGTGATTCAAAAAATACGAGATGCCATGGGAGAGAACAACTTTCTTCTGGTACTGGATGATATGTGGGATGAAGAGAGCCATAGGAAATTTGAAGACTTGAGAAGCTGTTTGCTTGGGATATGTAAGAACCCAAGGAATAGAGTTATTGTGACAACTCGAGATGAAAAGGTTGCACTAAAAATGGGAATGCATGATGAACACATGCATCATCTTGGGAAACTACAAGATGCTCACTGCTGGTCTATTATCAGGAAGACAGTATTTGGAGATGCATCTATTCCTTCTGAATTCGAGAATATTGGTTGGGATATTGCTCAATTATGTGGAGGTGTGCCATTAGTTGCAAGTGTTATAGGAGGAACTTTGTCCACAAGAAGGTTGGATAGAGTTGAGTGGTTGTCATTTAAAAGCAAGATTGAGGCACTGGGTTCAGTAGAACATGATATAGAAATCAGAGGTGTAATAAAATTGAGTTTTGATCACTTGCCAGAGTCAGGTTTGAGGCAATGTTTTGCTTTTTGTTCTGTTTTTCCGAAAGATTTTGTTATGGAAAGGGAGATGTTGATTCAGCTTTGGATGGCTAAGGGATTTCTTCAATCGGCTGAAGAAAGCCCCATGACAATGGAGGATATCGGTAATAAGTATATAAATGACTTGTTATCGTATTCTTTATTTGAGGAGCAGCAAAGAGATTCATTTGGAACCCTTATTAGTTGCAAAATGCATGATTTGATTCATGATTTTGCACAATTAATTTCAAAATCTGAGACAATGATTTGGAAGTCTCAAAGCAATATTCTTAATGTTCGAAATTTGAATCTCATTTATGGTGTGCAAACAGTGCCAACAAATTTAAGAGATGTTGCTTCAAAACTACATACTTTGTTTAAATGAAGGTTTTTTCAGTGATACGAAGATAAATCTTAAAAGTTTACGAGTTTTGAGTTTTATTGATTCTGTTGGTACTGAAGAATGGCCGCCATGTTTTGGCAATATGAAGAATCTTAGGTATCTAGATATTTCAAGAACTCGGATAACAAAACTACCAAAGTTCATCCCCAAGCTATACCAGTTGCAAACATTTAGATTCACGACTTGCAGATCTCTAGAAATGCCTCCAGAAGGAATTGGAAGTTTAATCAACTTGAGGCATATATACTTCAGTGATGAAGAGCAGATGCCTGCAAACATTGGGAAGCTAATGTGTCTTCAAACATTGCCGAAGTTCTTTGTAGGCACAACAAAGGGATGCAAAATTGAAGAATTGGGCAGCTTGAGATGCCTTAGAGGAAGTTTGAAGATTTGTAATCTTGAGCATGTTAAGGACAAATCAGAAGCTATGGGGGCAAAGTTATATGAGAAGACAATTTCTGAGTTGAGATTAAGATGGGGAAAAGAAAGCAATCGAGATGAAGATGTTTTGGAAGGTCTCCAACCACACTCAGATTTGCAAGTATTAGAAATTCATGGTTATGGAGGCAAAAACTTGTCATCATGGATGTCGAAGAATGTTATGAATTGTGATATGTTTTTGCTCAAGAATTTGGTGGAATTGAGAATTGTACAGTGCAAAAAGTTAGAAAATATTCTAGTAATGACAGGATTTTCATCTCTTCAAATACTTTCTATTTCAAACTGTGTTGAATTGAGTATTATAGCCGACGGAGGATTTGCTAAATTGGCGTCCCTTAAAGAATTACGCATATCCGATTGTCCCAAGTTGGAAAGGGTTTCATCAAATGGTTTATCATTGCCTCAGTCACTCTTGATTCCAGGTTGCAAAGAGTTGAGTAGCCTATCAACCTCCACGTGTCTAAAAGTTCTATCTTTGGATGAATGTCAAAATCTAAGGTCTATTCCAAGTCTACGTGGGCTTAGTTCTCTTGAAGAGGTAACATTTTACAATTGTGGATTAGAGCATCTACCTAGCGGGCTATCATCTTGCATTGCTCTTAAGAAGTTGGGGATATTCAATTGCCATAGCTTGATCTCTATTCCAGAAGAATTGAAGGAAATACATTCTTTGGTTGATTTGCAGATTCGACTGTGTTCAAAATTGAGGAGCATCCCAGAAAATACCCTCAATTCCCTTACCAACTTGAAGAAATTGGCTATTGGTGGTTTTTCGGAGGAGTTGGAAGAATTTCCTGGTCTCAGTAGCCTCCAAGCCTCCCTTGAACGCTTGGATTTGATTGGATGGGGAAAACTAACTGAGTTTCCACTCGAAATTCAAAACCCAAACCTTACCGCTCTAAACTGGCTGTCAATCGACGATTTCAAGGAAGTGGAGACATTACCGAAGTGGTTAGGAAACTTATCCTCTCTTAAATCACTATGGATTCGGGGATGCCTTCGATTAAAGTATCTACCAAGTGGGCTGTCATTCTTCCCTACTCTCGAGCGGCTTATCATAGTCGGGTGTCCTAATCTAGTCTCTGCTAACCTAGAGGAGATCCTCGGCGGTCTTGCTCGCTTGAAGATATTATGGATCGGTCTTTTCTCAGAAGAGTTGGAGGAATTCCCAAGTCTAAGTTCCATTCACAACCTCGGCTCTTCCCTTGAATATTTGGCTTTGAGTGGTTGGGCAAAGCTAACTCAGTTGCCACATCAAATTCAACACCTCACAGCTCTAAGGATTTTGTATATACGGGATTTCCATGGAGTAAAAGCTTTGCCAGAGTGGTTGGGAAACTTGTCATCTCTTCAAGATCTGCGCATCCAGAGTTGCAAGAATCTGAAACATCTCCCTTCTGCAGAATCCATTCGAC